TTGATTTGGCACATTAAGGCAATTCAACAAACCATCATTCATATGATGAAAGGAAATGCATATTGATGGATGATAAGGATCCTCAGGTAAACTAAAAGGTGAACAACGATTTACGTAAATCTCGGCAAAATTGGCAAAGCGGAGATCAAGCAGTCTACCATTACAATTAGGGGTACGATTATGTTGAACCAAATTATGATCAAACAATTCATTAAAGAACACAACAGCCCTATCAGACATTGAAGTAGGAATCAAACAGCCAGAATTATCACTGTTACACCAAGTGACTTGAGGCAAGTTGAAGTCACCCAATGCAACGACCAAATCGTTAAGTCTAGACCGCTTGGCCACTTCACAAATGAGGGCAGCGTGTTTCTTGTAAATGGAGATATCAGAATTTGGGGGAATATAGGAGCAGGTTTAGCTGTTTATTAAGCATTTTCGCACGAATGGCGATAAATTCAACGAGAGGAGAAGTGGGAAATACTATTGAATTGGACGAGACGAACGCTGATATGGCAATTAATACACTGTACTAATAATATCTATTCTATATTTTAATATTCTCTGTATCTCTCTAATCTTCTTAATGTTAACATTTTTTGTATAATTTTCATGTATTTGATGTATTTTCTAATTGTGGGTAGGGTGAATGTTGTGTTTGGAAAGATTGTATTAGACGTTCAGTGTCTCGCTGGCCTGCTTTGTATATTTCTTTTTTAGCTGTTTTTTGTGTAACAGGTGTAGGGTCATTAAAAAGAAGATATGTCCAACGCAATTTCACATCGTAACGACCGTTCCCATATTTTATTTGATTCGAGGTTTTCTCATAAAAGTTGTTGTTATGCTTCTCTTCTGTGATTATACCAATTGATTCTAAGTTCAAGAATTTCGACACATCGAACATTTCGTAATCGTTACAATTTTCTCTGACACATATTGTATTATTTCCGTAACAGCCTTGAATGGTTCAAAAAAATATATATTTTTGTAGTTCTAAATTTATCAATCTTTGTGGTTTCTTTTGCCTAAAATTGCAGCACGAGTCCTGCCCGATAAGAATATTAATGCCGGCCACTAAATTTTTAGTAACAATTGAATTGTCTGCTAATGCCATCTTTATGTAACTAGACAAATTGCTTATTGTTGTTGGACATGGAAGATTCACATTGTCGTTTGTATACATTATAATAGAAATGGCTTAACAATTATATCGTATTTAGAAGTGTAAATTGGAAATGAGGACAAACCTGTCGTAGTAGAAACTACGTCATTGTAAAGTTGCCGTAGACTATGCGCACCCTTATTGGAAATTATTGGTTTTAACCTCATCTAGTTTTGTACAAATTTTTCAATAATTTTCTCGGTATTACCCTATTTATCCAACAGCTCATAACTTCGCTCGATGGCTTCGATGACTTCACTATAGCACTTTTACGTACGCGTAAATTTTCCAATGGCCGCTTCTCCTCTCTTAATCAGTGATTCATTTAGACAATTAAATTTTGCAGATCGCGTAAATAGTTCCCAAAAAAAAAGCGTAACCAATTTTAATAATTACCGCTTACATTTTCCAATTGGAAGGATTTAAGATTTAGTCCGCTACAAATATTTTCTTCATTTGTTGTCACATTTCGCTTCCCATCCCTGTGGTTTCGCTGGTTTGCTTATTGACAAACCAATTCAATTCAATTTGGGCTATGATATTGGTGATTTTATCTTCGCACTCAATGGTTGCCTCACATTTTCGCGCCTAATTCTTTATAATTTCATTGCCTCATCAAATTTCCTTAGATTGCAATGCACAATGTTTTCAGATAACCCGAAATTATGTTACATAATTTTTGGATATAGAACAAGAGCAAGGGTAAAAGAATACCTTAAATAAGCGAAATGGATGGAATATGCTAAGCTTCTATCTTATTTTTTGCAGGTTAAATTTATGTTGTTTTTTCAGTTTTTCTCAAACCTTGCATTTTTATTTATACTTACATTGATTTCCTTATTTTTTCTTATCAAATAACATGAAACGCGTCTTCTCATTGTGCTTACCACTTGGGATTTTTAACCGAAAAACGGAATAACGTAAATAGCGCACACCACAAGTCTTGCGTTACGCCTTGGTCCCAGTTGAATATACTTGCGTGCGTTGTTAAAACAAAGTCATATAAAAGCGACTACTAATTCCACAATTAGCTGTGCTGCTATAATTAAATTGAATTGTTATATAATATTTTGTTTTCCTTAGGGTTGGTTTCCTTAAGCACTTATAAAGAGATATAAAATTAATGGGGTGAAAGATTTCTTGGAAATGTAATTTTCTTGAAAAGAAACATAAAAAAAAAAAAGATATTTTGAATAATAATAGTTAATAGGTTTATATGAAACGCATCACGCAAGCATTGTGTTTGCGCCTAAGGTTGTTTCAATGAGAAAAAAAGAAGAAGAGAAAAAGGAAATTTGTGATGCGAAAAAAAGAAGAGCAGTTTTTTTGGTTAAAGCTTATTAAAAAATTGAAATGAGCTTTCAACTATCTGCAAACACTACCACCGCCAGTGGAACAACTGGAACGCAGGAAATTAAGCCAGCCGAGTTCTCATTTGGGAGCATTGGAGGGGGGGACGCAGACGCAAAGCTGACGTTTCCTCTGAGTACAACGACAACCACAGCTGCTTCTGCTGTTACGGCCCCTACAACGTCGACTTCTGGATTTATTTTGGTCCCAGGGAGTACCACTGCTACCACAAGTGCGACAAATGGCTTCGGATTTGGAACTTCTAGTTCAGCTACTTGCACTGCGGCAGCGAATTTTACTTTCGGGATTTCTGTTACATCCACGGCTGCTGCGATTACATCGGCTACAGCAATACCGGCACTAATAAGCAATGCTGCGACTTGCTGTGCTGCAGGTACAACAGTTACTTTTGCCACTCTAACTACGGCCACTAAGACAACGGATTCGGCAGCAATAAACAGAGCCTCACAAATTTCTTACAGCCAAATAGAAGAACTTATTAATAAATGGACTCTTGAGCTAGAGGAACAAGAGAAAGTTTTTACCGATCAAGCTACACAAATCAATGCCTGGGACAAAATACTTATTGGTAACAATCAAAAAATTTTCGAACTTAATGATGCTGTGCAGAAGATTAAAAACGATCAACAGACTCTCGAGCAAGAGCTAGAGTTTATAGCTACGCAGCACAAAGAGTTGGAAGAAAGTATAGTACCACTACAAAAGGAATTTATGAAAATACCGCAAGTCGACATGGAAAGAGCTCAGACATATTTAATGGTAGAAAACTTAGATTCGCAATTAAAACAAATGTCAGAGGACTTGAAGGAAATCATAGATAATTTAAACGAAGCAAGTAATTGTCAGGATAGCACTGATCCTATAATTCAAATTGGAAAAATACTTAATGCTCACATGAGCTCTTTACAATGGATTGAACAGGGCACCACTAATATAAGCAACAAATTGGAGGATATTACTAAAATGCATGAAACCTTCAAAAGAGACACTGAACGTTCCTTCCGTTCGGCTTATTACAATTAGTAAGATCATTTCGAAGTTATATTAAACTTTATTGATGCGCAAATACTAAAAGAAAACTGAAGTTAAAATAAAATTTCGAAAATATACATATAACATTAATAATCTTGGAAATGCTTCAACCTTAATAGAGGAACTTCTTTATAGCTACCTAATGCTAAATAGCCCGATTTTGGGGAGAATTCCAATGTACGTATTTTACCAAATTTTCCATTGTTGGGAAAATTCGCATAAACTGCAGCTCTAGGGAAATCAGCCAACTTCACGGCATTGCGAGCCTTGCTTGAGGAAAATGCCAGCAATTCCCCCGTGTTATTAAATTTCACACATGAGATAGCAGTAGTTAAGTTATAAAAAGATTTTTCTGGGCGTGGCGCTGATGACTGCATGGCTTTGCTAAAATCGTACACATTAACAATGCCCTCCATGGTACCTGTAGCCAATAGGTTTATAGAAAGATCCATAACATTACCCGCAATACATCCCTCGTCAATAAAGCGATGTTCAAGCTTTTGTTGTCGTATTGAGAAAACGCATACATTATAGCCCTTACTATTACATATTAAGCGCTGCGAATCAGCAGTGAAGGATACGTCTCTCGCTTCATCCTCTTGCTTATAAGTACGTATTAATTCCATAGTTTTCGCTTCATACATATGGATTTCACCATTTAAGCCTGCACTAGCCAAATAGCGGCCGCACGATGAGATTTGGAATCTAATCAAGTGCCCTCGGTCTCTGCGTAGCTTGTAACAGTGTTCCTTCGCAGTCATCAAATCGTACACATAAGCATAACGTGCTGTTGAACCCAATACGGCTTTTGTACCGCAAGGTAAAATTTTAGCACTCTTTATAGGAAATTTCGGTATGTGGATATTGTGTAGTTTATCATTTTGTACACCGTCAATGGCATATATAGAGGCGATACCTTCCTCGCCGGCGACGATGGCGGCTGTGCTGAAGGGATGAAACGCAATGGAATTTATTGGACCTTCGCCGTATGTAGCACGATTTAAATCTTTGAGCCGAGAGAATTTTATGTGGTTCGCGGCCAGGGAATATTCCCGACTCTTATCTAAGAAACCTACACTGCGTAACAATTCTTCGCCTTGCTCATCTGACTCATTTTTCAAACTAGTATCAGCCCATTTTGGTTGACTAATTATATGTTTGAATTTATTATTTAAATATTCCTTGTAAGGTTTGTCTATTTCCAAATGATTCAATGGGCCTGTAGATTTAGCTGTTTTGCGCATATCACCCAATTGTATTTCTTCATCATCCACATCCGTCCACGCGGGCTTTCGCTTTTTGCTTACATTTACGCAACCTTGCAATTCTAGATTTCGATCATATTTAAGAGCCGACGTTCGCGTTACCGCTGCACTAAGCGTTTTGATAAAAACGTGCTTATCGCCAAATAATACTTTCTCCGCTGAGGTGATTTTATTTTCATAACAACTGCCTTCATCTTGTTCTTCATTTATAGTTCCCATTCTGTGGCTATATTCAGTAACCATTTCATTCAGTTCAGATTTTTGATCATTTAACTCTGCGTCACTCATTCTACCCTTTTGCCCTTTTTGGAAGGAATTGGCCTTCTTGTGCAACTATAAATTACAAATCTTTCTTGCAAGCGTATTGATTCACTTAATATTAATTGACAGCCGACGTATGCTTCTTTTTATTTGCCGCATACGACATGCACAGTCAAAGGTTAACAACAACTTCGTCGAGATTGCCATAGTTCGTTGCTACTGGTACTTTTGATATATTTTATGTATTATAAATGCAACGAAGCTGCATAACTTATCCAAAGTGTATAGGAAAAGTTATAACCTATCCAGAGCATATAAATGGTAACAAGTTTATGAATAAGAATAAATACGCCATTAGTAAAGTAATAACTTTTATAACTTGTTTTACTACAAAAGAAAAGTTTCAAAGAAATCTGGAACAAAACTTAGCTTTTCTCATTAACAATATAGTTACGTGTAAAAAAAAAACTCGTAAATATTCTTATAAGTAGTTTATTTAGTGATTTTATTTTTTTTTTTGTAAAAAAATTAGGATTTTCTTTAGGGTTTTTTTTGTTTCCAAATTAAGAACTATGTTTTAAGACAATGCGGCTAAGTTAGAAATGCTAGGGAACGACTTTTATATAATTTAAAGGGTATTAAAAAATGCATTGTGAAATTAATGTAGCTATACTCTACACATTTGCGCTGAAAAGGTGATTATTACCTATTACATATTATATCTACTTAATATGTTCATTTCCTTAGTGTACTTGCGTTGATTAATTCTTCTTGTTCAAACATTTTCTTTTTATTGGGAAATGTGGAAACACACAGCAATAGAATTTAATTTAATTGCATTCTTATGCCCACGACTGAAGGATGGGGTATACTCAGTTTGTTATGATGTTTGCAACATCAAAAGGAAGCCTCTATGAAGTATATCTATTCGTCATCAGCTTAAAATTCTGAACTGATTAAGCCACGTCTGTACGTCCTTGCATCTTTTGTGTGTTTTTGGTCCCAAAAATATAGATATCGACGTCAAAGTTGGTAGAAACATTGCAACCTGGCACTCAGGTTAGTTTTAAAAATTGGCCAAATTGATCAGAGCACAGTCCTGAAATAAAGCGTAAATGAAATGCTGCCCCTTTTCACTAAGTAAAAATTTGTTGATTTTTTGAAACTTTTGTTGAAATTTTTTGTACTAGAATAAATGACCATTATCAACTTTTTACCATTTACTGCGGTGGTTGGATTTGCCGATGAAACGTATACATTCAGTCAACTTCGAAATCCCCGAGTCTTCTCATTAATCGCAGGAGACACTCCAGTGAAAGAGCTTTCCCTGGAAAACCATTAGACCGGGCATGATAACAATTCTTGGCTAAGCAATGGTTTGAAGAATTTTGTAATTTTCTCTTGCTTGGCAGTTTTTAAAAGCTCCTTCAATTCTGACTGATACGCAGCAGTCGCATTAGCAATTTACCTCTCAAAAATAAGACTTCGTTCTATAGACGGATCAATGTTCATAAAGAAATCGCGAAGTTCATATGCCATTCTTAAACCTTCACTAAGATTTTTAAAATTAAATGTCACGTTTCCAGTGTTTGTTGAAGCCAATGGGCTGTGAATTTAACATTTCCTCCAAATTGGTTTCAGTGAAATCTTGCGATTCAAGCAATTCCTGAATGTCACTTGATTCTATCTATTCGAACCCATGGCTATGTTTGCAGTCGAAGTTTGAACTTACGCAGATTTTTCGTCATTTACTGCAGTCAGAGCAGGTCACAGTTTTTTCCAGCATGACTTCAATGTGCGTGGCTTCAGTTCTTCCAATGATTTTTTTATGTTTACGATGCATTTTGCTATCACAAATTTCTTCCAGCATTTCATAACATTCATATCAGGGTTACATTCCATATTAAGCAATATGATTTTGAAGGTTCGTCTTATGTAATAGAGCTTAAAGGCATGGATGATTCCTTGGTCAATAAGTTGAAGCAAAGCCGTCGTGTTGGGAGGTAAAAATGTCACTTTTACGTTTGGATGCATTGTTTCAAGTTCGCGAGGATGACCTGGTGCATTGTTCAAAACTAGAAGTGCTTTAAAGTCTAAATTCTGTTTTTTTAAATAAGTTTCAACTTCAGAAACAAAACAATTCCGGAACCAGACACAAACAATAGCGCTTGTAACCCACGCTTTCTTATTAGCACACCAAAACACTGGCAGGTTTCCTCATTTTGATTTCGTAAAGCCCGAGGATTAAACGATCTGTAAAGCATCAGTGGCTTAAAGACACAATCTGCAGATGCATTAGAACATAGCGCCAGTGTAACTCTGTAGTTTGCTGCCTTAAATCCAGGGGCAGAATTTTCACTTTTAGAAATGGAAGTTTTGTTCGGTATTCTCTTCCAAAACAGTACAGTTTCGTCTGCATTAAATACTTGCTTCGTTTTGTATCCTCCATCAGCTACTAGGTTTGCAAATTCCTCTGGATATCGTTCTGCTGCAGCAATGTCTGCAGATGCTGTTTCTCCAACGGTTTCAATCGCGGAAATTTATAGCCACGAATATAGGAATTTTTACTGTATTTGTCTACGTCGCTGCAGAGCAAGAGCTGCTACAGCCCGAAGAAGCTCGGAAGAGACGCAAACGTTTGCGTAGCGCTGCACAACATCCCCATCCACTACAAGAAGTTTATTTGAATATCCCAGCACTGTCGACTTATGAAGAGGTATTACTGTAGGGTCACCTTAATTGCAATTGGGTGGAGAAGTTAGAGGCTTGCTGGCACAAAATTTATGAATCTTATAAAAATTTTAAAAATTCAAATAATTTTCAAAGTTATAATTCGCACGAAATTTCACATAAAAATTAATTAAATACTCAAATTATTATTCCTTATTTTCATAGAAAAAAAAAAAGTTTCGGTAAGTAATGCGAGATTTTTGTAAAATCCTTACTGTCTGTCTGAATTGTCATTGCTGAAGCTAGCTAGTTCAGGAGGGTTTCAAATATTTATTTTACGTACACTCCACAGACACGAAGAGATTGCAACTAAAAGAAATACACCTGCTTTAATGACAGACAACGCATGAAAATTGACTACCGAACGTGACTATGTTACGTTCCGGTCCACTCTTAATCCTGTTCTACGTACGGTCCCCTTCGGCCCATGGTTTCCAATGGTGAAGTTGCGGTCGACGCCCCTAAGCTCGTCTGAATAAAGAAATTGGGATTATTTTTTATATATATATTTTCCTTTTTTTAAACCATAAAAACGTTCTATGCATGTATTGAATTAATTAAACTCTCCAAATTATCAAAAACTTGTACAAACGTCTCTACAAATTACCAAAAACCTGTGCAAGTGTCTCTCAAAATTACCAAAAACCAATCGGCATGAGTCGGAAAATAAGCAAATACATAAGTTTTTTAAGAAAAGTGAGCAAAACTTTATTTTGTTTTTACAAGAAACACCTGCAGAATAATTCTCTGTTTAAATAAAATTGTTTTATTGTATATAAAAACCATATAAAGCGCAAACTGAAAACTTAACAAATATCAATTTTAAAACGGTAAACCGCTATTATTCTCATCATAATTTTTTTTATTATTGAAAAAATTGTCCACAATAACCGATGATAAAACCGAACAAAGATAATATCTGCAGGCGAATTATAGATCAAGTATTACTCTTTTTATTAATCCGTTACGCTAAGCATGGCTTAAAAAGAAAAGATATTGAATAGTTTAAACTAATAAGGAAAATCGCAATATTGCAGAATTTTAGCCCTTTAGACAGAGCGAGGTCAAAAGTATCACATCGTTAGCATTCATTGAGATTTTGTTAGATTTCATCACCGAGGGCAAATCATTAATGTATAAATTAATTAAAATGGGTCCTAAAAATTGCCTACATCTGCGAATAAGCATCCACATTTGTTTACACTTCTCAATAATTGAAAATGTGTTTGTATAAATTGCTTTTTTTTAACCACAAATATTTAAACCTCTCTGCGTATCTCATTTAATATTACGCTGTCTCTAGTCTGAAAAAGAGCAAAATGCATATATTTTGTAATAAAAGTAAACAAATACTCAAAAAAAATTCTCGCTACCTGCAATTTGATCATGTTGCCACTTAAGTAATAATTTCCTAAGTTAAAATTAATTTTGCAAGTGTAGAGAAGACAACTCACCACAAATAAACGCAATTATTTGGCAAAGATAATGTCTTTTTCTAAAATGACCAAGTTAGTAATCGAGACTAAGTTAGTTAGTCACCAGATATGGAGAGTTAACAATTAAACTGGAAACAGCAGTTGAAAAATTTCGTCTTAAGTATACAGCAAAAAGATTTGAGGTTTTAATATCATTAGAGGAGTCGGAGCTATTGAAACAAACATTTGAGGGATATAACGAGATTTTCTTTTGGAGTTGACAATCTTAAAACTGTATGTAGGATTAAGATGAAGTGAGCATTTTATCAACTGAAGGTATCCGCAATAATACTAGTAATTGAGGTAATCAAAGCTATGCCTTGCAGCAGAATAGGCAAAATTGTCGTAAGCAGAATTTTGCTTTTCCTATTTTTGTAATATTTAACTGCCTTGTTAAACCATAGCGGGCATTTGCTTCGAGAGCGAGGTTGCTTGATCGGAATGGATGCAGAAATAGGTAGATTTAGCACATTATAGAATGATGACAGCAAGTTTTCATTATTTTCGGTAAAGAAATCAGGCATAATGTGTGAAGATAAGCAGTAAAGTATTGGTTTTGTTAAAATCATAATGTTAACAGACCATCATGCCTCTAATAGAAGGCAATACAAATTGTTGAATTATTCCCAGCTAAACTAAAAGGTGTGAAACGTTTATATTGAAGTAAATTGTGATCAAATAATTCATTAAAGCGCTATGTCTATACCAAATGGGTTAGGCTTTTCGGCAGCATGAGAACAGCATGTTTCTTATAAATGCAGATATCCCCACTTGACGGAATATAGGAGCAAGGTACATATAACTGTTTATTGGTAATTTTTACCCGAATGGCAATAAATTCAACGTCGAGAGGATTAGGAAATTCAATTGAATAAGACGGGACTGCAGCAGATATGGCAGTTAAAACGCCACGACCAGTGCGATCCAATCGATCCTTTCTGAAAATCTGGAAAGATTTGTTTAAAAAGATTTAGGCTTTAACCAAGTTCTAATGAAGGCCAATCAGGAAAACACCGTGTTCACTGACTCTAGACAAGTAGAGCAAATTTTTGAGTTTAGGACTCTAGCACAAACCATAGGAAGAAGCTTTAAGTTGTTTGTGTTAATTTGGTAGTTTCTTTGCTAGTTTTCTCAAATTGCGCCTAAGACTTGGTAACTCCCATCTCACCATGTAAACGATTACTACCAATTCTTCAATTCTTTACTTAGTATGTCAACTATCTCTTTATAGTCTCCTTTACTCACCCAATTTAACAGATGAGATAGATTTTTTATTCACCATTTTTCTTATTTATTAAACGCAACTCTGAGCTCTCTCCATTCACCACACATAGTACTTTTTTTATAGACGGTGTAAAAGAAAACTCGGCTAACGGCCCTGGGTTAGAGAGAATTTTAGCAGATTTAAACGCAGAATCAGCTGAAGTACCGTACGCTACTCTACTAGTTGGTGTTTCGTAGGCTGGAACAGGAGGTGAGTACCACACATAGCGGTATCCATCGAACAATGTTTTAATTTTTACAAACTTTCCGCACAATGTCACGAAATTTGTACTTACTTCACAAAAAGCATTCCTTGTCTACGTGAAAGGTTGTAGTCGGAATATGACAAACGTAATCCTTCGGAAAGATCCAGAACTGCGTCTGCAAAACGGCCGAAAATAGCTTGTGGAGCGAAAAAAAACAAAAAATTTGTCATGCCTTCAAAAATGATCACCTAAATTAGCACGATTAAAAACCCAGTAACCAAAGGAAAAAATGTAAAGACCGCAAACCAAGGCTGATGTTTGGAAACAACAACACGCAAAAAATAAGAAAGACACTTTTTGACGAACACCAAGTGCTGATCGCAAAAACCAACATGATGAAACTAAAAAGTTCAATATGTCACAATAAATTTAAACACTTATATAATTACTTAGTTTTTAAAACCGTACAAAGCAATAAAATAAAAAAGAAATTGCAAAGTTTCTACTCACAAAGCAAAAAATGGGGCCACAGTGCGCAGATTCAGTTGATCGCCACAGATACAAACTTGGTATAAATGTTTCCTAACGACATAAATACACAAAATTTTGAAGGCCATCTGACGAACAAACAGTTTACAATAGTTCTGCACACGTTTGAACTAAGGCGAGTATTCAAGATTTGCCTCAAAAAAACTTACACCAAAAAACCTATACCAAAAAAACTTACACCAAAACAACTTACATCAAAACAACTTACACCAAAAAAACTTGCACCAAAAAAACCTATACCAAAAAAACTTGCACCAAAACACCTTACAGCAAAAAATCTATACCAAAAAACTTACACCGAAAAAACCTATACCAAAAAACTTACACCAAAACAACTTACAACTAAAAACCTTATACCAAAAAAACTTGTACCAAAAAAATTATACCAAAAAAACTTGCACCAAAACACCTTACACCAAACAATTTATGTAAAACACTCAACTTGGTGATGCCTAGCTTTGCTTATCGAGAGCTCAATATGCATGTTGAAACTATGGTCAAATAGAACGCCTAAATCTGTGAATTAATCGACGTCCTCTAACGTGCGAATCAATGAAATAGTGAGTAATGAATGACTTACTTCTTGAGAAAGAAAGCTTCTTACATTTATTCAGATTTAGTTTCAGAAAATTCCAAGAGCACCATGCAACAAAATTATCCAAGTCCCCTTGAAGCTGATGTGATTGCGATTCAACAGAGAAGGAGAAAACAGTTTCAGTATCTACTAACCTCGTTCACAGATAATCTCGACTGCATTGTGCTCCATGAGAGTAGATTTTCTTGTTTTTTTTTGCGTACAAAGCACTAAAGACTACAAAACCTACGTAGGAAACGAAGATGTTATCGCTTCGACAGCATAATAAAATGCCTCCGCCTTTCAACGATGACAAGACGGCTAAAACTGTTAAACGGGGCTTTCAAAGTCCAGTATGCCTGTAACTAGCTTCTAAAGCGAAAATTGCAGATAGAGCAGCAAGCCTAGCATCCACTGCTCTTTTCCAAACAATCTTTATATAAATTAGAACTATAATGCTTCACACTTGTAGGTTAATGAATTGAGAGTAACTTACTGAGGAGTCTGATTTTATATCTTTCCACAAGATAAAGGAAATAACTGATAGCCACATAAACCCATTAAATACCATAAGAAGCACTTTTATGTTAGTGTAGGCATTGTAAGAATGCGACCGAAACAAGGTGGTGGTGGGTTTGAGTGGCATTAAGCGACATTAACTTGGCTTTGTGACTTTGTATCACCAGCATCTATTATGATTTCGACTCTCGACTCTACTTTTGACTTTCGGTAAGAACAAAGCCCATAAAGTGGCTGCAATCTGCGCTAAACTAATGTAGTTCAAGTATCTACAGTTCATAACTTTTAAAATTATTAACACTTGCGCTGAAGTTCCGGCCTAAAATTATAGCGGCTCTTGTGTGTAATGTTACCGGATGATAATAGTTTAGCATAAATGTATGTATAATAAGCTACTTCAGTAGCCATGTAACTACCATAAAAAATTTCCAACACCTTTAACGCCTCCAACGAACTAGCCTACAAAAGCATACTCCACACAACACAACCACTTACACCGCAAGCGATTATTGCGGGCTTATACCTGAAAGAACGAAATTTTTTCGCTTTTGCTCATAAGACGATACAGCATAGAAGCATTAAGTAAGGTCCTCAATGTTGGAGGATTACGTAAACTGTTTTAATTGTTTTAATTGTGGACGTGACGAATTCCGCACAATTTTGCGCTGAGCCTAAAACGTATATAATAACGAGGCGGAATTTATCAACTCGAAGCGTTTCGTAAGAGAATTGAATTGCAATTTGGTGATTAATCAGGTAATTCGTTGTATAAATTTGCAGCCGAGTAACAGATTCTAAAATACGGATGGTCTTTTGTCTGTCTTATACTATCATGGACACGTGTGGAAATGAAGTCAAAATTCGTGGATTGTACGTACAGTTTACGGAACCCCTGTCGATGACTATTACAAATGAGTTGAGTTCCAAACCAGTGCAAACAGTAGTAAAATAGGTATGTTCATCCTTCAAATCGGTACAAGACTTGTAAATATTTTTCCTTTCTTTTTCATCCAGGGATAATGACTTAGTGACAACAAGTTCTTGCTTTTTATTTGTTTGCCAAGAAGTTGCTGCAGTGTTTTCTACCCTTGAACTTAAGATCATCGAATAGTATCATTTCCAATAATATTAGTTCCAATAATCTTTATTAAAGTATTTAAATTTTAAAATAAAAATTATTTCTGCGAATGGTGAGAAAGGATGAATTTTATTATTCTTTAAAAAGAAAGAAGAAACGAGCCACTATAAAATAAGCAGCTAGCAAAAGCTATTTCAAAAAATTGGATATTTCTTGTACAATTAACGTTATCATAAAACAATTCGATTAGTTTTGGAAGAGTACATTTTTTTATTGTGCAGTTAAATTAACACAATATTTTGACTGTATCCACATACACATATATATACAACGTAAAAATGCCTTCATATGTACGATACTGAATAGTGGCTTGTTACTCTGGTGCCAAGCGAATTGTTTCGTTGACATATTGCACTTATATTATTTCGCATTTAACTTTACGCTTGTGTACGTGCATATCTGAAAAGACAAGAAGCATTACCAGCTATTGCGCCCGATTGCTTTCATAAAGCCACCGGCACTTACAATTTTTACTAACTTTCCTCCTACTACAAACAACTAGCAAAATGAAGTGTTAAACAGCATGTAATGAAACTTTAATGAAAGGAAATTAAAAATGGTTGCAGATATCTCTACGTAATGATTGCAAGGAACAAGAAGAATAAAGGCACGTGTGGAAAGTGCTCATTATTAGAGTCACATTAAAAATTGCGTCGAGTGTGTATTCTGTGCGTTAAGAAGAGAAAAGTGCACACTTGAATACATGTGGGCAGTGCACTATTAAATTAGCTGTGAAGCGCTTTAAATAGAAAATATATTAAAATGTGCACAACAATAAATATGTAACTTGTTTGTGATATTTTTTTTTCGTGAAAGTATGAATTTATTTCTTTTACTTTCATTAAAAAAGGAAATAAAAAAAATGATAAGCATGAATTATATTCGCTAGTTCCATCTAGTTTTTGTGGCCCCGCAAATTTAGAAAGCTTGTGCTGCAGGAAGTTTTCGCATCCATACGTATGCCTATGTATGTACACGTATGCATGTATGTATACATATATGTTTATTATATGTAAATCTCTAATCTCCACAGAGATAACCCGTTCAGTTAGGAACTGATTATAAACATACGAGAGCATTAAAAAAAACACCGAAGTAATGTGATTGCAAATAAATCTGTTTTCCTATAATCTAGTTTCGCACTCAACACCAGCGATCACCGTTGTCATTCGAATTTTGTACTAGTTAACATATAGAGCGAATCTAAACAATGGCAATTCTACGCTTCTTTACTATTGACGCCGATGATTTTGGTTTTAGTTGTTCTGCAGAAGCTGATGAGAGGAGGTAGTGCTCATTCAAACAAAAACGTCCCCGACTTTCGTGGGTGCATTTGTATACAGTAAGATCTGTTCATTGATTCATATTAAACAATGTTTTTTTTACGTCGCACACTTTGAAACGAAACTGTTTTGATTTCTTCCTTTCGACCGATGGACACTGAAAAGGAATATTGTTAAGAAAACAAACATAAATTATATAAATCTGCATTCACCTGCTGATGTTCACCTTTTTGCTTTCGCTGCCTAATGCACTTCATTTTCCTCATTCCTTGTAGTTTTCTTTTGAGAATTTCTTGAGCTCGAAATCATTTCAGAAGCACTTTTCGTTAACGCATAAACTGTTTTGAGAGTCGAGCTACAATTCCCACAGATAGTTGGTGCGTTAGCGACCTGCATGCAGTAGATTAAGCATATGTATAACGCTCATCACCCCATCATCCCCATCACAAGAAATAAAAACCCAGTGTGTACGACACGATCGGGACTTTGAGATTAACATAGTTAATATTAAGCGGTTCTTTTCTTTTTTATATAAATATTATGTGCGTTATGATGTTTGATTTAAGGACGTATCTAGCCAGGTTTACTTTTCTAATTCCTTTTTTTCACCTTCAAATTTTTATAACAAACATGGTCCAATTGAGACAATACGTGTTTCTTATGGCATATCGATTACATGATGGTTGCGACAGAATTAGTGTATAAACTACTTCCTTAGTGTGTCTTTACATTTTATCACTTAATGTCTATCTACAAATGTTTATACCCTACATCACTTGTGGTACAGACTGTATTAAGCTCGCGGCCGAATGTAACGCCCAGTAGGGCTTAAGACAGACCTACCATTTATTATACTTATCGACTCAGATTCATTTTCTGAATCACTTTCCGAACTTATGTACTGTAGAATTATCGATTTGTCGCACTCTACCGTAATTTACAAGTTATTGCTAAGTTTACATTTTACACCTAACCTAGTTAAGATAGTGTAATTCTAGTAATAAGCTATTAATATAATATTATATGCTTACGTTATTATTCTAAGCGATAACCTACTTTAGTTATATTACTTAAGTTAGCATTAAGTTATTTCCTATATAAGATACTGACCATACCTTAGATACATCATAATATAAGCAAGTATTTTAAGCGAAAGTAAAAGAATAAAGAATCTAAAGTAATTCAATAAACTAAAAAACATTTAAATTCTAAGTGGTGTCACTACAGTACACTTGTCTGTTCATCTGATCTCTATGCAAATATTTTAGCGTTCAACCTACAGGTCGTAATTTTTGACATATTTTGATGAAATCTAGTGCTCTGAAGTGTTTGGACCCGCTGGCGAACGCTGTTGCATATAGTTCGTACCGGTTAACTTTTTCGACAGCTTTCTATATAACGTCCTATTTTGAAAAGCCTTTCTATGAAAGAAAATTGTAATTTTCAAAATTTCGCTATGAAAGTCGCTGAGTAATAATATTTTGACTTTCTTAATTGGTATAAAGATTCTACTTCGGTTGGGCAATTTTTGAACTCCTTACAAATGCTTTCTTAGAGAAACTGAATCCCTCATACGGCAAATTGTTCAATTTTCAATATTTCATGATGAAAATTAGCTGATAATAATGAAATGACAAAGAAATCAACATTACCGCATTTGGGCCTAGTAGGTCTATTTTTGGGATACCACCGCATATAAGCAGTCTCAGTAAATAGCAATTTACCCAAAAAGATAACGATAAACAATTTGGAACAGATAGATCTACATTTTAAGCTCCTAACATATATAGAGGTTATCATGAAAAGCACGCACTTATATGGATAAAAAGTGTAATTTCCTGTTTCTTATATGAGAAACTGGCGAAATAATAAAATTTTTTACGAACTAAATTAAGTTTGCAAAGTTTAGGTCACATCATGTGATACTTCGGGTGTTCTCCAATATGACGACTTTCATGAAAAGTATGTTTTTGTGTGAAAATAATGTGTAATTTTTGATTTATTAATACCAAAACGAGTGCACAGTTGCATTAGATGACGTTGTGTAGGATATCTAATGGTCCATCTTGCCTGACTGGAATGGTCTTAACTGTACTGGCTTAATTTGATGCCACAATCGTAAGGAAAACGTTTTCAAATATTCACTGCCTCCAGAGAGGTTCATAACATTCATTTAAAAATTGGTTAAACACGTTTTTTGAGAGCTCCGAAAAACAAACCGACTAATTGAAGAGAAGAGGCATTTCAAACGAAAGAGTATAACAAGAGCCTAAGCAGACTTAAAATATCAGCAAAGTGTAGGATACAAGTAGACAGACGAAGAGAGGGATATAAGAATTATGTCTACATACTGGTTATGTACAAATTGGGTATGAAAACTATATACAACATTTTTAGACAGGCAAATAAATTTTAGGCATTTATCGTAAATTTTGGTAAGTTGAAGTTTTAGTAGTTGTTTCCATTTCACGGGGTGAAATTGCATTTATACATTTTTCCGATTCTCATTTAAGCTAAAATGTATATATACGACCTGCCCACTAAATACACATTTACTACCTTGGAGGGTATGATTTTCATTTTAATATAAATGTGTGCGAAAAGCTTGAGCATTTTTAATGATTCCTTTTTTCCCCTTTTTGTATTTCTTATAGATTTCCAAGAAGCCTTCAATTTGTTTGACAATCGTGGTGATGGGAAAATCCAACTTAGCCTAGTAGGTGAATGCTTACGAGCCTTGGGGCAAAACCCCACCGAATCGGATGTGAAAAAGTGTGCACATCAATTTAAGTCGGATGAGCGTATATCCTTTGAAGTATTCCTGCCCATTTATCAAGCAATTTCTAAGGCTCGTTCTGCTGATACAGCTGACGATTTTATTGAGGGCTTACGTCATTTTGACAAAGATGCAAGTGGTTTTATATCATCGGCCGAACTAAGACATTTGCTTACTACACTGGGCGAGAAATTAACTGATGAAGAAGTTGAACAATTACTAGCTAATCAAGAAGATTCCCAAGGTAATGTCAATTACGAAGAATTCGTACGTATGGTCATTAGTGGCTGAAAGGGAAGAGTTAAGAGTTTAGGCTTTTCCAGCGTTCCCACCCACTCGTCCTGCAAGTGCCTGCTTATTGTACGGCAAGGTACCGCGACTCGTCACTCTTTAATCACATTTCGCGGCTTTGGAACAATCTACCACCAGTTGTCTTTCGCGCTGTGCCTGATCCTTCTCCTTCTCAGTCAAACGTAAGCAACTACTACTCTCTCATTGCATAGCTAGATCAGCAAACATCAGAAAATAGTAGAAATTAACTCTGAAGGAATTTATTTTTACAAAAAAAAAAAAAAAAAAAAATGGAAAAAACACTTTATTGAAAGTGAAATAGTTAAACGTTTTTTTAATCTTCGGAAAAGAACTTGAATTTCATGTGGAACGTTTTTTGAACATCGTCTTAAAAGTAAAAAAGCCTTACTTAAGCTTCAGCGTATTCATGAAGCGAATCATACCACGATGTGGATGTTAGACACGTATATATAATATATAAAACGTTATTAAGTGTCTTCCTATTGTTCGTTTCAAAATTCCCAAGACCATGTATCACATGCCCGATCAGCATTATCCGTAATTTTGATATCGTTTAGTTTCGTATTTATATGCAAGCTGTTGTCTGAAAGGTGACGAAAGCGTATGAGAATTTTATTATTTTATATTGTCTAAGGATTTCCGTAGCCTACCTCTTAACTATTCGTAATCAGTTATTTGCATTCCGTAGCGTTGCGTTACGTCCAAGATACTTGCATGACGACATTGTTTGAAAAATGTATGGCTAAGTAATTTAAAGCCTGCCCAACGATTAGTGGCTTTCTTTTCCATACATATCTCCGTGGATTGATGAAATTCATCCGTAAACAAACGTTGCAAGTAAATTTGTTGCGTTGCAGCAGCTAGGCTGGAATCGGTTTTATTTGTAGTGGTTTTATTTGTATAGATATGCACAGAAATAATAATATTGAAGACTGCTGATAATTTTCAGTAACTTTTTCTTTTTTTTTTACCTATTATTTCATCTACGGCTGGGCAAGTAGTACGGTCTAGGAGAGTTGGAACATTGCCGCGTATCTTTTCCGTAAACATAAATGTAGGTTGCGAATCATCAAAAGGTTCTATGCCGTTAGCAAGTTCACAACAAGTTATGCCAAGAGAATATATATCTGATTTCTCAGTGTAACCAATCAAATTTTGTTCTAAAACTTCAGGAGCTAACCAATTTAAATTGCGCTCACTATGTGGCGGAAGCTGGTGCAACGCTGTAACACGACGGCCATGTGATAAGAAACTGGTACAATCGCGAAAACCTGTCAGTATAGCCTTAGTTTGATTTAGCAGGATATGACTCCCTAAAGGAGATAGAAGAGCAAAAGCGACCAAGTCAAGAAAAAAGAATCGGTCACAATCGGGAAATCATTAAAACGAATAATAATTTCTTTTATATATATTTTTATATATATTAATAAAGTAATTTAAATGTATAATGAAACTATTATATAAATAAAGCTATTTATATTTAAATATAAATTATTTATTATATATTATAGGATTAAAAATTATATTTTTTTGTTTAATATAGAATTGATTTAATGGCTAGTGAATTAAATTTAGTATAAAGTTAATAGAAAGTTAATTTCTATTTTATGTTTTCAAAATATGCTTATTCAAGCTCATTAACTAATTAAGAATATTATCTCATCATTTTGTAATTAAAGGATTAATTAAAAAGTAAGAGAAATAAATTACTGTTAAAATTTGACCGACTAATACATAAGGGTCTTCAACTGGTCGAGTTCCAATTCATGTTAATAAAATCGCAATTATAGTAATTGATCAAAATATAATTTGATTAATAGGATAAAATTGAATACCTCGAAAATTTCCTAAGTGATAAAATGGTAAAATAGCTAAAATAGCAATAGATAAATCGAAGGCAATTATTCCTCCTAATTTATTAGGGATAGAACGTCAAATTGCATATGCAAATAAAAAATATCACTCAGGTTGAATATGAGGAGGTGTTACTAATGGGTTTGCAGGGATAAAATTATCAGGATCTCCTAATAAAAAAGGATTTATTAAAACTAATATTATTAAAATTATTAATATAATAATAAATCCAACAATATCTTTATAAGTAAAAAAAAGGATGAAATGGAATTTTATCAACATTTGAGTTTAATCCAGTAGGATTATTAGATCCAGTTTCATGTAAAAATATTAAATGAATTATTGTTATAGCTAGAACAATAAAAGGCATTATCTACTGCGAAAAATCCTCATACTCGTTGAACTAAATCATGACCAAGGTAAGGGATGGCGGATAATAAATTAGTAATTACTGTTGCTCCTCAGAAAGATATTTGCCCTCAAGGAAGAACATATCCTATAAAGGCGGTAGCTATTACTAAAAATAAAATAATAACTCCTTCTAGTCAAGTAGGAGTAAATAAATATGACCCATAGTATATTCCTCGTCCAATATGAAGGTAAATACAAATAAAAAAAAAGATGCTCCATTTGCGTGAAGAGTTCGTAATGATCAACCATTATTAACGTCTCGACAAATATGATTTACTCTATTAAATACTAAGTTAATATCTGCAGTATAGTGTATAGCTAAAACATAAACCTAGTAAAGATCCAAAATTTCATCATGAAGAAATATTAATAGGAGCTGGAAGATCAATTAGTGCATTAGTTGCAATTGAAAATAAAGGGTGTTTAATTCGTAAAGGTTTATTCGTTAATTGAATATAGGTCGTAAAGGACCTTTTGAAAGTTTAGTAATTTTTACTACTGCAATTAAAGTAATTAATAAATAGTTTATTAATAAAATTGTAATATAATTTGTTGGATAATTATATAATTTGTTTACTAATAATGAATTTTCATTTACGTAAGAAGTAATATTATTAGTTAGTTTATTTTCTAAGTTTATTAATTGAAATATATTATAATCAATGAATCATCTCATAGTTATTATGATTAATAGTAAAATTAAAGATAAGAACGATAATTTTACTGAAAATGAATTCCTCCTAGGAATACTAAAAATAAAACATAAGAAAATCAAAAAGCTTTTGATAATAATCCAATAGTCAAAGAAATTATTGTTGTTTGAATTAACAAGATTAATCCTATTGCTAATGGCTGTTTTATGTTTATGAAAATAAAGTTAAATATTAATATAATAGAATAAAGAATTCATAGAATAATTTCAAGAAGTAGTTTAATGAAAATATTAATTTTGGAGATTAATGATAAAGAATTTCTTTTTTCTTGATGTTTTAAAAAAATAGGGGAAAATCGAGCGCCAGGTCTATAAAAATTGTATAAAACTATTCAGGAGACGTACAAGGGGAGATAAATGCTTATTTTTTATACATTTATATATACAAGATTATATATT